GTATGAGCTTCCTCTTGTGGTCATTCATCTGTCTGAATTAGTTCCAAACCTTGGGTCCCACATACTTTTGGCTTATTGGGAATGGGGAGAGTTTAAGTCCCACTTCTGAGCCTTTAGGCCCACACACTAAACTTCACACCCCAGATCTGATATCCCCTCAGCTGCTAAATGCTGAAACGAGTGCCTGGTTTCCCAAGCCTCCTCACTAGTTGTTAAATGCTCGTTGATTTGCACTCAAACTGTGGATCTAGTTTATCATTTCCTTCTTTGGAGATCACGTTACAGCAAGTTATAGAGAATTTACACACATGCTACTCTCATCACAAGGAATAGTCAGATTCTCTGCTAGGGATCAAGGGAGTCTGTTCTTCTCTCTGCTCAGCCTTGTCTTCTGGTTCTAGTCTACTTCCCTCTCTCCCCTTTTTCTTGCTAGAATAAGGCCTTTTCATAAAGTTGATGTTCCCTTTGGTGACTGTTTTGAGCTGCTTCGAGTCCCAAAAGATAGTTTTTCTTTGAAATTCTGCTGTTGTTGCTTGGACCCTTTCCTTTCCCTGATGTGTCATGTGCCTTCAGGAACTGCACCTGCAGCTACAGCCTCCTTGCCAGCTGGGCTCTGAGGGAGCACAGGGAACCCATATTACACAAAGGTCCATGCTTAGGGCAAACTGGGCATTTTATACGTATGGCCCCCAATGAATCCATATGTATTGAGATGAATACATTGTAAAATCTCAGTTAAAGTCAGTTGGTCTAAATCAGTTATAAATATATTTGGACACAACATGTATACTTGGTGTTATGTTCCTGTTCATATTTTTTGAACTTAAAAGTTGACAGACAACCTTTATTACCAATAATATGTAATGTACTTTACAATGTTCCTGACATATATTTCAGCTTCCTGGATTTTTTTTTTCATCTGGCCTTCAGATATGAAAGGCAGAGTGATTTAACACCTGTTTAGATTTGTCATCCATGTGACGAAATGAAAAGTATGCCGTTTGCAATAAACTTTGCATAAAATAGTTAATTTGCATTTAATTTTAATGGTTCAAAGAATGTCAGGCAAAATGGTCGGCCCTCACGCATGTTCACTTCATCAAATCTGGCCCTCTTTGAAAAAAGTTTGGACTCCCCTCCTATAGGGTCAATAAGCAGCCAGTTGTGTCTGTGGGCAGTTTTCCCTCTAGTGTTTTATGTCTATGTGTGGAATGACTTTCATTATGTGCACCAACACAGAGGCGATGTATCACACGCAAAGTCATTCCACGTATGGGCAGTGTGTGGCGGGAGTGGGGCTGAGGGACTGAGGTGCATGCTGAGGGCTCTGGTTGTGGATGTGGGCTCTGGGGTGCAGGCTGCCGTGGGGAGAGAGGACTACTCACAGTTCTCTCTCACTGCAGCTCCAGAAGGCCTAACCATGGGAGGGGCACCGGCGTTGGGTGCCATGGCTGGGGATGAGACACCACATCCAGGGGAGAGGTGTTCTCCATCCCCAGAACAGAGGTGCTGAAGCCAGGGCAGAATGGACCCTCCTCAGTCCCAGCAAAGAGCTGCCATGGAGCTTCTTGCTGAGGCAAGCAGATAGAGGTGGTGCTCAGTGAGGAGCCCTGAGCCCCTGCACAGGACTTGTTAAGCAACTTCATGGCTGCACACCTTACAGGGATATTAGTCAATGGCAGAAGGGAGCATGCATCGCCACATATGGACTTAGCTCATAAGTGTCCTCATTCAGTGGCAAGTGGAACATAAAATGGAAATTATTTGAGATTACAAATGAAAGAGCTATAAATGTAGGTAAGGCAAGGAACAGATTAGGAAATTAACGAAGAAAAGAACAGACACTGGAGAAAGGAGAAAAAGACGGTCTGCATGGTCAAAGGATAATTTTTCTTATTGGGCTTAAGCCACTTAATGAGAGTTTTTTGTAAAAACGTACATAAGATACCTATATAGCTGACCCAAATTTTTCAGACAAGAAGCTTTCCATTGATAAATGGCCTTTTTCAGAAACAAAAAAAAATATTAAAATGCGATATTATCTGAATTTGGTTTATCCACACAATGCTTTAATACACATCAAATTGAAATAATTAACAATGTTTTTTATTGAAAATCTGGTTCTCCATATAAACACTATTCTGAGTAAATGACAATTTAATATAACCATTTTGAAAATGGTTTAAATTAAAAATATGAAGACACAGCACACATCATACCCAACAAAACTTGAGATAACTTAGAATTTGTTATAAAATTATTTTCCTGGTTTTCAATGAGCTCTATTTACAAGCAGAGAAAAGTAGACACTGATTTAGACACGGTGCTTTTGATGGAAATATAAATCAAAAGTCAACCAGTTTTTCCTTATTTTCTAATATCTTTTTCTTATAATGAACACACTACTCTCTAACAGCTGTGACCTAATGACCAGTTTACTTTAAAAAAAAATCCATCTCACAATCAGCAAATGTCAGCAACTATTGAAACAAGGGAAAAGTCAGTGTTTGAAATGGATACTTGTGTTTTCTCAGGATCTATACAGTACATACAGTTTAATGAAGTACAGGTTGCACCTCCGTGTTCTGGTACACTTCGGACCTGACCAGTCCCAAAGAAGGGAATTTGCCAGACCTGAGAAGGTTGGCCCCCCCCCCCGCTGATGGACTACAGGCTCTCCTGGGTCTGTCAGTAGATCGCCAGGCTCTAGCCGGGGGGCTCGCCAAGATGCCACAGCCACCTGGCCCCTGCTCCCAGCCTTCTGGGGCTCTCTGATCTAGCAATAGATTTTGCTAGACCAGAGTGTCCCAGACCAAAGAGATTCAACCTGTACAAACAAATTTACTAAGAGAAAATAAAGTTTTTTAAAATAAATAAGACCAGATTTTTCCCCTCTCAATAAGATCTTCTCTTACTACTCAGCCTGTTTTAGTACATGTGCTGGTTTATCACTGCAGTCTGGTGATCTGAGATACTGATTGAACCTCGAAATTAGAGCTAAATAACAGCACAGAACATTGAGAGCCATGATTGGTGGCTGTAAACAAACTTTATGAGACAGCAAGAAGCTTGGCCACACTCATGACGAGTGGACATTTGCCTAACTAAAATCATGCTAGACCACAAATGTTGCTGGACCAGAATGTGCCGAACTAGGGAGGTTCAACATGTACTTTGATTAGTAAGATACTGCACAAAAGTAATCAGATGCTGACATAATATTTTTTGCTAGACTATTACATCTTCTGTTCACTAGATAATGAAATAGAATTCTGAAAAGGAAAATTCAGGAAGTACGTTTCACCATTTACTAATATTTCCTTTCATATGACCCTTAATGCATCTATTCCTCCTGGGTGCTTTGGAAAATATTTAAGATTTATTGCAGACTTATTTCAGAGATGACCCAGTTGCAGAAAACGTCCAAGCTCCTAAAATCTCATTTGCTACTCAAACAGCCAGCGATGGTAGCAAAATTACAGAGAATAAGGTGGATCTGCCTGTAGTAAAAAGCTACAAATAGTTTAGATTTTTTTGGGGGGGGGGAAGGGGGAAAGCTACAGGAAATTAGACTTGCAGTTTCACCAACTTGTAAAATGGATGAGGTTGTTTTATTTAAATAGCTAATTTTTACTGTAGACCTATGAGTCCTGGGGTGGGGTGAACATTTTGCATAATGAGTACCACAAATATAAGATTTTAATCTAAACATCTATTTCTCCATCAGGCTAAAAAAACAACACAATCTGCAGCTCTGGCAGCAGAGGCAGGGGCTATCAAAAGCCCTGATTTACTAAAAATTATACCAAGATAAAAGGGTTTTTTTTAACCCACTTTCAGTATCATGGACCTACCAAACATGAAGCCTCCTTCTCCCACACACAATCAGCACCAAACTGGCCATAAGGGCCTCAATTGTATGCATACAAACAACAACATGAAATGACACATGCCTCACTTGGAAAGTCTGGCCCTATTTATAAGAATTGTTGACCATCCCCTCTCTATATTTATTTCAGTATTTCATTAATATATTTCTCTATCATTTCCACCAGCACCATAAACTATTGCAAACATGAAATAAAAGAGTTGTACATACTGTAACCTGGGAAGCATCCATGAACTGTAGGCCAAAGTAATCAGTTTCCACAAGGTCCAGATGATATACAATCTGGTCAAATAAATCCAGGCCTTTCGCATTTTTCTGTAATTCAAAAGGAAAAATAAAAGATTTCTTAAAGGGTTTGGCAGGGGAGGGAGAGTGCACATAGGCAATTTGTTTTAAAAACTCATGAGAAGTACACTGCTTAGATATTAAACAATTAAACTGAAAGTGCTTTCATTTCCTAGGGTTGCCAGGTGTCCGGTTTTGAATCGGACAGTCCAGTATTTGAGCGTTCTGTCCAGGAAACAAATTGAGAAAATACCAGACATATAAATGTCTGGTATTTTCCAATTAAGTAAGTTTTATTATCATCATGAGTATCACTACGTAGTTGCATACTGCCTGGCTGGTAGACACGCTCACACAGTAGAGAGGAGGGCAGGGTCGGGGCGGGATGGAATCCCCAGGGCTGGACTCGCCCCCGTGCTCCCTGCCGGGACCGTGTGCGGGATGGGCAGCACCCCGGGATCTGTCTGTGCCCGGGCCAGCTCCGCTCCCCGCCGAATGGTTCCCACCCCCACTCCTCCCCTCGCCAGCTCCGCTCTCCCCGACACCCTCCTGGCCAGTCCTGCTTCCCACTGGCAGTTCTCCCCCTTCCCCCCGATCTCTCCTGGCCAGCCCCGCTCCCCCCGACCTCCTCCCGGCCACACACACCCATCTGAGATACATGTGTCTGGTATTTTTTGGAAATCATCTGGTAACCCTATCATTTTCTCCAATTAATAAGGTATTTCTTAGATGTTTATCATGACAGTATTGAACACTGACATATCACCAAGCTGTGAAATACATTTACTATTTATTTTAGCGTCAAAACAGTTTGCTCTCTGTTCAATTTGAAGAAGGTTTCTACAACTAGCTACAGAAGCAAAAAGTGAATGATTTCATTGCTAATGCCCTGCAATATGGAGCCAGCATTTTAAACCCCAGGATACTAAATTCTCTATTAAATGTCTGCTTGAGTAATTGTCTGAGGTCTTTTGGCAGCTGTCTGATGTCAATTGCAATTAAGAACTGCCATTGCACCATTCAGGCAGCAAAATAAATTTAAGACAACTTGACTAGTTAAGAGTACTATAAGGAAAGATAATGGCATTTGATAGGGTCTTTAAATAATGCTATTAATTGCTGAATAGCATTTGCAGCCTTTACACAAAACAAACCCCACAAGTTTTACTAATTTGGCACCCTTACAGGAATGTGTGGGATTGAAAACTGAACTACCCTCAGCCCAGGCTAGAGCTGATTCACAGGCAGGATACTGGTAAGGAAGCTTGCACCCTCACTACTCTGGGTCTTGTACCATTATTCACAGGCTAACTCGTGAATTTAAGTCACCAGTGCAGCTGTCAAGTACAAACACTGTGGAGGTTACGGGCATGGGTGGAAGGAAAAGGACTGAAAAACAATTTTGAAATGCCAGCTTTGTTGCTTAGAATTGAGAATATGTTTTTTTTAAATGTTTGAAAAGAACTTCTTCGGAGGACAATAACCCAGCACAAAACTGAACTGGAGCCTTGTTTGTTTTAGGGGCAGCATTGTATCATAATGAAATGTAGGCCAGTGGTTCTCAACCAGGAGATTGCTACCCTACAAAGGGCTGTAAGCAGGTTCTGGTGGGGAAGAGGGGAGTTCTGCAAAGCAGAGCCAGCATTAGACTTGCTGGAGCCCAGGCAGAAAACCAAAGCCCCATGGACCCAAGTCCTGTCACTTGGGTTTCAAGCCAAAGCCAGAGCAGTTTAGCTTTGTTGGGCCCCTTTGGCATGGGGCCTTGGCAGTTGAGTTGCTTGCTACCTCCTAACACTACTACTGGCTTTTATAGGCAGAAAAACAGTCGTGGCACAGGTAAACAGCGAACTGGAGCCAATGGGAGCCATGAGGCTCTGTGGCTCTGGACCTTTTAGGTAAATAAAGTGGCTTTTCCAAAGCAGGATCACCAAACTCTTTGAGAAACACTATACTAGTAAATATCCCTAAGCTTCTCTTCTTCTCTGTGGTATTGCAATTGCAGAAGATCAGGAAAGGGGCTCAGACGAAAGGTTGGGTTTTTTTAAAGACAAAAAGCTGATAAAGCATTTTTAGGGCCCACTTCAGGCCATTTTTTAACCTTCCAAATACACTACTAGACAAAAAAAACCCATATTTTCCAATATATGTCAGGGAAGGAACAAATTACTTGTATGGCTATATGGTATGGTGGTTTCGTTGTTGAACTACTTACTGTTCAATGAGTATATTACTGAAGGGAGCAGCTGTAATATTTGCATCATCAGTTTGTAAAGTGTGCAATAGGTTTTTGATTTTGTTTCAAATATTGTTCTAAATGAATGTCAAGCACTCAGAGACTAGGTTAAATATAACACAGAACTGCAAAAGTTTGGTGCTGTGTATAGGCAGAGTTACATAATGAATATGTCCGTATCTGCCCTCTCTAGAAATGCAGGTAAAACAGCAAATTTGGCTCAAAGTCTTTTACAAGTAATCTGGGGGGGGGAGGGGGGAAGAGAAGGAGGGATGACATTTGCAACAGATCCCATTCAGCTCAAGATATATATGCAAAGATGTGGGCAACTGCTTTATCTTTAGATTCTTATGGCCATTATAAAGGACATCATAAGTGTGGGAGCATGTCCCCTACTGCTTTTGAATTAAAAAAAATTGTGTTAAGGGGTCAGAAACCTAATCACTAGAGAACAGTGTTTCTTAAACTGTGTTCCGCGGCACACACCGTTGGAGGTGTGGCTTGGAGAACAACAGAGTTCAAAATGGCCACCCTTAAAGGGGCAGGTAACCTTTCCCCCAACCCACTCTTTTTTTTTTTTTTGGCTTAATAACTTTTCCCCCCTGACCCTTTTTTTGTTGAGAAAAAAAACACCACCACCACATTCTTGGTGTTCTTTGGTCTTAAAAAGTTTAAGAAACACTACACTAGAACATTTTAGGCATTTTCATTTAGTTCTCTCTCTCCCAGAAAAACTCTGATTTCAGTTAGTCTAGAATTTGATCCTTAAGTTTTCAACTAATCTGTTTCCCCTCCCCCACCACTTACAACAGTGTATTTTACACATCATAAACAAATCTTAGAAACATTACTTAGAAATTCTCTTCTTTAACTATAAAGGTTAAGTCTACACTAGGAAACTATTTCAAAATAATTAAATGTGACTTAATTACTCCCCATTTTACAAAATCAAAATAGTGTACCCCCACTACAGGGACGCCTCAAAATTAGTCCGAGGCAGGCTCTGTTAATGTGGATGTGCTACCTCAACTTAGAACTCCAGAAAGCAATGGGGAATAATCAGTTCAAATTACTCTGGGGAGTAATTATTTTTGAAATAGTAGCACTGGAGCCTCCACATTAACACTATTTCAAAATAGCTATATGCACTGGAGCCTCCACACTAACACTTTTTCCAATAAGTAGCATTATTCCCCGAGAAAAGCAGGAATATAGATTTTGAAATAAGCAGTCCATTATCTCGAAATAACAGTCTTGGTAGTGTGGATGCTCCACTTATAAATTCGACCTAAGGGAAGTTATTTCAAAATAAAATCCTACTGTAGACCAGGGCAAAGAAAGGAATGAAATAATTTCCACCTCCACTACCTTACTTGAAGAGGTCAAACAACTCTGGTGTAGGTGGCAAGTTCTATTTAAGTCTCAACCAACATGACTGACAAATTGAATTTTTCAATGTTTACAAAAACAGCCATCTGACCTCCATTAAAATAAGATGTACAGCTATTTCTTAATACAATCAAGAAAATGGCATTTTGGGATATTGTTTGTCTTGTTTCAGGGAAGGCAAAGATGAATTAGAGAGAGACGTACTTTATTAATCACAAAATTCAATAACCTTATTGCAAAAATCTGAGATTATCATCTCTTAAGATGTAAGTAATGTTGCTTAGAAACAGTACACATCCATGTCACTGTTCTGAAAGCACGGTATTTAATAACTCTCTAGATCAGAGTCAAATAAGCAAAGAATGTATTTTAAAGAAGGATTTTGTCACTGTATTAAATGTTTAGTGAAATTAATGCTTGTGCAAGACGCCAGATCAAAAGCACACTAGAATGAAGTTCTCTCTCCACCTGAACAGAGAACAGATACAGTACAGGTAACAGGAGTCCACAGTTTGTCAGCTTTCCATGACCACTCAATTCTTGATAGCTTTCTTATGCATTGACTGTGTAAGCATGCCAATTAAGAAGCAGATACCTGTCAAATAGACTCTGGCTTCTACTTTGTCACTACCAGCCTGGACCAACAGCACACAATATTCCACTGCAGGTGCATCACAACTGTAAAGTGAGTCATGTGGAAGAAGCAGTATTGTCATTTGCTTGATTGTTGTAAAATGCAATATTACATGTGTAGCTTCTTGGAGATGACAGACTTTAAATGTCAGTAAAAGTTATTTCTTAATTATTCAAACCTTTAGATGACAAATTTGTGTTGGAGCTCTGGGCAACATGAACGCAAAACAGGCTTTCTTCCAGGCATTACAGCAGGGGTGAGGAACCTCAGGCCCGGGGGGCAGATGTGGACCCCAGCTTGCTTGGATCCAGTCCCTGAGGCTCAGCACTGGAGAGTCCACACTGGTGCTCCAGCCTTCCAGCCACCTACGTGCAGGGCTGGAGCACTCAAAATCTACTAGCCTGGGCCCCCCCCCCGGCTCTGGTGTGCCAGAGAAATGTGGGGAGTGTCTTTCTCCTTCTCAGTCAGGGGTTTCTACTTTGCTTCTCACTTGTGTGCAACACCCGAGTGATTTTGTGGTGGGTCAGCGGCCCCCAAGCCAAAAAAGGTTTCCCACCCCTGCATTACAGCGATGGGAAAGATGGGAAACTGAAGCTCCTTACCCTCTAACTAGGGCTGCCAATTTTCTGATTATCCCACCCCTGCCCCGCCCCTTTTCTGAGGTTCCACCCGACTCACTCCATCCCTCCTCCCAGTGCGGCTCCATCTCCCTCACTCTTGCTCACTCACTCATTTTCCACTTGGCAGGAGCAGGGTGTTGAGGTGCAGGAGGGCTGTAGCATGAGAGGTTTGGGATGCAGAAGAAGGCTTACGGCTGGGGC